AAATACTAACATTTGTTTCCCGGGGATTAATTTTACATCCGAAAAATGCAGCAAACAACAGAACATGAGGATTCACATGGTCATATCATATCATGCACCTGCAGCGCTTCTGCCAGCGGAGAAAAACATAATAAAGCTAGGCTATATATAAAACGAATAAATAGGCCTATACAAGAAACATATTTTTTTACTTAAATTATAAATTAAGAAAATGAAAGACAATTAGCCTAGTATGCAGAGTTTCGGTTCATTTTTGTGCTGCACGAAAGGAAACACGGCAGAAAGCAGCATCCTATTTTTCTTTAGGCTTATTTTACAAAAGCACAAAGATTTGTTTTTATTGTGAATGTACACAAATAAAGGCAAACCTTTTACAATTTCGATTATCTTTAGAAGGAACTGTTAGAAGGGAAAAAAATTCAAGTGATTGCGCCGGCGCCGCATGCAAGCACAGTTAAGCATTGCTACCTTGACAATGCAGCCTGTTCATTATCATAATACAGTCAGTCAAGCATATGGAAAAAAAATATGTAGGCTAGTAAAATCTGTTCCGTTAAGGTTAAGTGTTATCACTGTACCGCCGTGATGTTATGCAAAACATGTTGTTTTACATGGATATTGGAACGCCAGTGAAGTAGCCTAGGCTACATAATAAATAATAATTTGCCATTCAAATACTGTTTCGCATCGGCATTAGGCCTATTTCTGAATGAAATAATAAAATGCGACATACGCGACTTGTTTTTTTTCCCCTAATAAAACATTTTTTTTTAATACGCGTAGCGTATTTTAACCATGCAGCAAACCGTTTTAAATATTTTGATAAATTACTGAAAAAATAAATAATTAAATTACTTTTTAAATCGTTTAACTGATTGTATTAATCTGTCAAAATTCTTACCGTCGGTTAACCGGTTAAAATGAACATCCCTAGTCTGGCCAGAGGAGAGCTGGCCCCCCGACTGAGCCTGGTTTCTCCCAAGGTTTTTTCTCCATTCTGTCACCGATGGAGTTTTGGTTCCTTGCCGCTGTCGCCTCTGGCTTGCTTAGTTGGGGACACTTCATTTCCAGCGATATCGTTGACTTGATTGCACAGATACTATTTAAACTGAGCTGGATGTTGACATCACTGAATTCAATGATGAACTGCCTTTAACTGAAAAATTAGTGTTTACTATTGTCACTTTGCATTATTGACACACTATTTTCCTAATTAACACTGTAAAGCTGCTTTGACACAATCTGTGTTGTTAAAAGCGCTATATAAATAAAGGTGACTTGACTCGACAGCAAAAATATGTAGTTTATCTGTGTTCTTCAAAGCCACCTCAGGTATTTTCATAATTATGTATATTTATAATCCACTGCTTATCGACATAGCCTTTTTTACAGTACAGAATATATTTTCTGCCTCATTCTGTGATAAGAAGCCACATCAGATCACAAAAGGAAGTTATTTCAAACACTCGACTGATGTTGCAGAGTAAAAACTTGTTATAATGTTCGCTTTTGACATCAGGTTTAAAAACGCTTCTCATTACAAGGGAAGATGTTCGCCGCGTGTTGCTTTTTCAAATGCACGTTATAAGCGGGAGGCATTTGCTCATCTCAGCAAACACACAAATAGTGCCAATCTGGAGAGAAAATAAAACACACGGAAATTATTTAAATGCAAAAATGAAATAATGACTACTGTACAGTTCTCACTTAAGAAATCATTCAGACGGCGGGAGTGGAAGCAGGATTTTGCAATGCTGTCGAATTGCAGTCTCTTTTTAATGACAGGCCTTACGCATTTGTCAATCTTCCCTGCTTGCTATTTGGGAAATGAACCCAGCACTCTTACTGGTTGAACTCTTCTTCTGCTGTTGTTTGATTTGAGTACTGCGCGTGGACAGAGGCGTCAGCAGGTTTTTGCATAGAGTTACACATTGTACCAGCGTACTTTGAGGTCAAAATGCATACAGGTTGGCAGGTCTGCCATCTCGGTCTTGAGTTGGAGCGTCAATTGCAAACATTGCAATCGTGTTTTAAAATCCAACAACGAGCAGCATGAAACCATTTAAAGAGGTGCATTCAGCGGGATATGAAACAGCCAACAAGTATAATGATCCCAAACGTAACTACGGCGTGCTCTCTTCATTTTATCAAATGATGAGAATCACATCTATTCATTTTACAATCCTGCTACTAGCCTTTTATTTAGATTAAAAACCCCTTTAATTCGGGTGAGGAAGCTGGTGTTTTGAGTGGCATTTGCACATCCTGTCATGACTGTATGCCACTGCAATAGATGCATTTTGCAGTATTAAGGTTAATGATCATTCGATTAATTGATTGTTAATTTAAACGATGATCGATCATGGGAATGATTGAAAATTGACATCTCTAGGCTGGACACAGGCATTTAATATGCTAAGACTACTAAGTTAAATGCTAGTGTAATTGTTAGATAACATACTCACCGTCATCAATGAGTGATGCTGATCTCTCTCGGTCTCGGTCTCGCTGTCTCTCTCTCTCTCGTTCGTGTGGTGAATCTGGGCTTGGCTCTCGAGGAAGATGCATGCCTGTCTCGTAATCGAATCCGATTCTCTCTGCCTGTCTGCGAGCTTGCCGTAAAACAGCAGCACCTGCTTCTCGCAAGCGTAGCGCAGCACGGTAGAAAACTGTGTCTTTGGCGTTGTACTTCAAACAGTTGTTGACGATCAACAGAAAGTCGCCCTCGAAAGCTTCGAAGCTGAGATAGCGATGCGACTCTAAACACTTCCACATGGTCTGGAAATCCATTGGGCGCTCGATGTGGTCCAGGTAATCTGGGACCTGGGGAAGACACAACACAACCACACTCACAGTAAGGGTTATATCTGAAGTATTCAGAGAACTTCATAACAGATGACAACTCTGGCGTCAGAGCAAAAACAGCTTCACATTATGTAACGCAGAAAACAAAAAAACAAAAGACAAAAAGCAGTAGAATTACTATGCAATGAAGATTTCCAACTCATGGATGAACCACCTTCATCAGGCTATTGATTGAATGCTTATAATTTAGCACCATTCCAGCAACCACAGCTATATTCACGGCGAGAAAAAAGTGGAAAATAGAAAAAAATTTAAAAAAAAAAAAATCGAAAATGTTTTTAAAGAAAAAAAAATTAAGAAAAACAAGAAAAACTAAAGCTGGACTTTTTTTATAACAATTAACTGAAAAGTAAAATACCCTAGAGGAGTTCGAGACACCTCTGTAAGGGCTGTGTGTGTGTGTGTGTGTGTGTGTGTACCTCACTTAAAGGTACAGGCTCAGTGAAGAAGTTATTGGTGTCCCGCTCTTGCAGTTGTTCCAGTGCGTTTCGCAAAAACACCAGGAACGGAGTCAACTGCATCTCTAATGCCACCTCCTGCATTTTGATCTGAACAAACACAGAAATATAAAACAACACCAAATGCAAGTGAAATTATACAACAAATATACAAAAATGAGTCATTCCCTCACTGATCAACGACTAACTTTAAGCTCTAGTAGGCATCCTCTTCATTTCTTGCCATTGTAAAAATAAAACATGAACATTAACTGTTGTTTGCAACCCATTTTACATGCACAATTTGAGGTATTTATGAGAGAAACAGGATATTTATCAAAAATAAATGCAGGACAGGACTTTATTTCATCCACTGAGAATTAATTGGGCGATGAAAAAAAAAAACCATCAGAATGGAGTCAGACAAAACGTGAATTCACTAAAATGCCTGCACATCTATTTGACTATTGGATAACAGTAAGACCAGCGACTGGTTGCAAGAAAGGTTCTCTTGACTTCAAGAGTTTGTTGCAACTGGATGTCAGGGGGGCTCAATTTTAATTTAATGCTGACTTATGGTCTTTTTTTGGGGGGCTGAAAACTGCTTGACCAAAGCATTTTCAAGTGTCTGGTTCATAGAATGAAACCACATACTTTCTCACTTTTAAGGATGATGTCTAACACCGTGTCCCAACTACACACGACGAGGCGACACATGATAAAAGGTATCTTTTCCATGTTAATCAGAGGTTTTGTCCTAACTAGCCGTGACACGCAAAATTTCTATTTTAGAAACAGTTTCTATTTCCGCGATGTTGCGGCTGGAACAACATACAAACTATAGTACAGTAGATAATCTCACGTACTGATTATGTGCTTTATTCAATGTTAAAAGTGTCTAATAGGAGTTTAAATATCATTTTGTGTGACCTTATAGCCATACTGAAAGCAACAACAGACAGTTTACCTCAGATTAAATAATATACACTGCAAAATTACAACTGCAATAAATAATGTTATGTGATTAATGTTTTAAATACATTTATGAATATACAAATAAGAAATGTTGGGGGGGAAATGCATACTTTTCAACATAATAAACCACCAGTAGGTGGCGGTAAGTCACTTAATGAGTGAGTCATTCATTCAACCGATTCGTTCAAAACGCTGAATCATTCAGGAACAAAACACCGCCGAGTGTTGCTTGGAGATTGTTCCTTGTTTGGAACTATTTTCGTTGGTGAAACAGAACAAAACAGTAAATATTGTGTCTAAAATGTAAGTAACTTAACTACTTGACTAACTAGCTTTAATTGTTTATTTACTTAATGTAAATTAATGTAATTGTTAAATTAAAATCAGAAGTATAATTTTTTCGTTTCGACGCTTCGCTGGTTATTTTTCATTATTTTAATTTTTAGTTTTAATCAGGATGTTTGGATGAAAAACAATCTTCGGTCTGTCCAATGATTGCAAACGGTCATTGTTCCGTCAGACTGAAGATATTTTAGCGGTAATGAGACCAAACATATTTAAGACCCATCAACCTGAATTTAAGACACTTTAAGACTTTTTAAGGCCTTTTATTAGGAAAACATTATTTACGACTTTTTAAGGCCTTTTATTAAGAAAACATTATTTAAGACTTTTTAAGGACCCGCGGACACCCTGAATAAACCATGCTTAATGGATAAAGGGATTCGGCAGAGAGAACATGTTGGAGGATCTTCCCCTAGTATGAAAAACTTGTGTCGTCGTGTGTAGTTAGGACACGGTGACAGAGTCTTACGGTCTCTCTCTTGAGCTTCTCTCTCTTGCGGATGAGCTCCACCAGCAGTCGGGCTCGTTCCAGGTCGTGCCGGAGTCTCTGCCACGCTTTTAGCTGCTCCTTCAACACCGAGTGCTTCTCCTGGCCGTCCCTCTGTTCAAACACACAAACACAGCGTCAGTGAGAAGCTCCTGCTCGTGTTCTCCCGGCGATCTCGTGTACGCACCGTGGCGGGGAGCGGCTCAGTGTTGCGCTGGGACTGCAGATGCGTCTGGAGACGCCGCAGGAGAGGAACGCCGTTGCGGCTCTGTCTCTTCAGCGTCCAGTAGCTGTGCAGCCTCTGCATGAACTGACCCTTCCTCTGCACCGTCAGGTTACTGGTGATCTTACTCAACCTGAAGCACAAGACATGACACTAAAGCTTCTGGAGTGCTCTGCACATTTCATCTGACCATTGCATTTCCTTAAGAACCATTGAACGTTTGAAATTACACTGCCGTTCAAACATTTGGGATCAGTAACATTTGTATTATTATTAATCAAGTTTCTTATGCTCATCAAGGCTGTATCTGTTTGATAAAAAATACAGGAAAAAAATGTATTTTGTGAAATATTATTGCAATTTAAAATAACAGTTTCTATTTTAATATAATTTAAAATATAACTTATTCCTGAAGCAAAGCTGTATTTCCAGCATCATTACTCCAGTCTTCAGTGTCACATGATCTTCAGAAATCATTCTAATATGCTGATTTATTATCAGTGCTGGAAACTGTTGTGCTGCTTCATATTTTTGGGACCTGTGATACTTTTTTCCAGATTCTTTGATAAATAAAAAGTAAAAAAAAAGTGTTTTTTTTCTAAATAGAAATGTTGTTACAATATGCACTACTATTCAAAAGTTTGGGGTCAGGCATTTTTTCTCTCTTTTTTTATTTTGAATAATTGTTCTTTTAAACGTTTTATTTATCAAAGAATCAAAGCAAAAACTATCAGAGGTTACAAAAAAATATTAAGCAGCACAACAGTTTCCAGGACTGATAATAAATCAGCATATTAGAATGATTTCTGAAGATCATGTGACACTGAAGACTGGAGTAATGATGCTGAAAATTCTGAGCTGTGTTACAGATATATTAAAACAGGAAACCGATATTATAAATCGCCATAATATTTCACAATATTATTATTTATTTTGTCTGTATTTTTGATCAAATACATAGAGCCTTGATGAACATTTATTTCACTTGAAATAAATAGGGGCCTTCAGTGTCATTACTCAAAGTTATAGTAACATTACATTATAGGGGTAATTTATTAATATGTGACCCTGGACCACAAAACCAGTCATAAGGGTCAATTTTGATTTACGGTAGGAAATTTACAAAATATCTTCATGGAACATGATCTTTACTTAATATCCTAATGATTTTGGGCATAAAAGAAAAATGTATAATTTTGACCCATTCAATGTATTGTTGGCTGTTGCTACAAATATACCCCAGCGACTTAAAGACTGCTTTTGTGCTCCAGGGTCACATATTATTTTGGGATCAAAGCAGATATCGTGCATACTTGTGCGGTGGAATACACGGCACTGACACCACCGGTGCGGCCGCTCTCCTCTCGGCCAGGATCTTTCTGGCCCTCTTCATCTTCAGCCGTGACTTTGCTTTGGCCCTCTTGGCGCGCTCTGAGCTCCAGCCCTTCCCGTCTTCCTCGCCTCCTGCCACATCCTCCTCATCCTCCGCCTCGCCCTCGCTGTGGGAGGAGCCTACACTGGCCCCTCCCACCCCCCCCAGTGGTCGGGCGGAGCCTGGCGGCGTGTGGATGTCACAGTAGGCTGTTTTGCGCACGCTAAATGAAGTCCCGTTAGCGCCGGTCTCGCGCACAGGCTCCATCTTCATGTAGAGGCCTGCCTGCTGAGCGCAGGTGACGTGCCAAGGCAAGATTTTACATTTTTGCAAAATAACTCAAACACACAAACTAGGGATGCACTAATTCTATTTGGCAGCAGGGCTGGGTTAACAATATCGATTTCCTGAGCGATCTTCATGTTGATGATGTGATATCGATTCTAAAATCCCAAGATCGACCTTTCAGTCTATGCTGCTTTTTGTTGATGCATCACAACGTCACTAAACATTTTTTTGTAATAAGGAAAGAAACAACGCTTTTAAACTGACAATTTTATCATAAAACCTCAAGCAATAAATGCTGTTTTAATGTGGCGTGACAGATCGCTGTAGCGTCTCAGTTTAAGCGGCACATGAACCGACCATCTTTTCCTCTTTACTATTTGTTACAACACAAAATAAACATGAACAAAGGCATGTTGAAAGAAACAGAACAACTTACTAAAATGCATCATGTCTCATGTAATCGATCAAATCAGTGGAAACATGTAAATAAAACAATAATGTCACATAACGTCACATTTACCTCAGGAAAAACATTCAATGTCCATAGCATATCAATGTCAATAACTCTAGAAAGGAGCATTTTGCTAAATATATGCACTATATCACATATTCTTTACATTTTTTACTTTAGCTGTTAGTGTCTTCATTATTGAATGCATGTTTGAATAAATTTGTCATGAAAGTAGTTTAAGACAGCTACCATTTAAATGTTTATATTTCAGCAATGAATTGGAAAAGAAACACTTACATCATTATAAAAGTTGCTATGTGCAGTTTAAATGTTTGCATTAAACTAAGGTTTTTTTTATTGTTTAATTTGATACAGTATATCTAAAAATACATAGCCTAGTAATGTAATAGTTTGTTATGCATAGGGATGTAACGATGACCAGTTTGATGATAAATCATAATAAAATTCCCCATGGTTAGTATTACCGTTTCATATTTTAATTATCATTATAACAGTATTCGATTACCGCGATTTGAACAGCCGAGGATAAATAAACACTGTCCAGCATAAAGCAGAGTTTTCAGTAACAGCACAGCAGCAGAGTAGTTGCGTTTTGCGTGAAAACATGGCGTAAAGCTGGGAGGTTTAAAAGAGTGCTAAGGGAATTATACAAATGAATATATGCATGAGTTAATTATATGAATGTACCTCTGAAGTTTCTGACTGTCTTCAGAAAAGATTCGATGGCACTTTGTTTTCATCTTCGCTCCATGTAATACCTAATAAAGTAGTGTTTTAATCACAATGCTGGTTAACTGGGAAACAGCTGTAATTCTGCTGCTCCATCAGCGCCACCTGCTGTCAGACAGTGGATCTACAGAGACTCACATTCAGTCTGTGTGCAGTTTCTGTCTGGCATTTTACTTTCACTTTCGAATTAGTGGCAATTTGGTGTCAATTGATTGAATTGACAACAACAAAACCGTGACACTGTGTCGTATCGAACCGAACCGTTACACCACTAAAATACATATAATCATTTATTAATCATTTTGACTTAACCCTTTTTTATTTAAAGGCCGAAATGTGAGATTTACCATTTTATGAAACTTTTTCAAAGCTTTATTGGAACTTTTTGTACATGCTATTAGATAAACTGCCTGTCATGTTATTTAAAATCCAGACATTATTGGTAATGTAGAAATGTTGTTTTAGTGTTTATGCAAACAAAAAGTAATTTTATTTATTGTTGTTTGTTTTAAATACAAAACTTTTAACCGTGATAATTTTGGTCACTATAACCGCGATAAGAAATGTTCATACCGTCACATCTCTAGTTACGTTTAAACTTTGATATTACAGTAATGCACCAACTGACAGGGTTTGCTCTGAAGTTTACGGATTTAGCTTTTCCTTAAGAAAAGCTGACATGTACTGTAACTGATATCCAAATGAATCGAGATCAAATCAAATCAAGAGTGTGTGAATCGGAACCTAAAAGTGAAATCTAACCAAACCGAAACAGTTAAAGGGTTAGTTCACCCAAAAATGAAAATTCTGTCATTAATTACTCACACTCATGTCGTTTCAAACCCGTAAGACCTTCGTTCATCTTCAGAACACAAATTAAGAAATGTTTGATGAAATCTGAGAGCTCTCTGACCCTCCATAGACAGCAAGGGTACTACCACGATCAAGGCTCAGAAACATAGCAAAGAGATCGGTAAAATAATCCATGTGACATCAGGGGTTCAACCGTAATATTACGAAGCTACGAGAATACTTTTTGTGTGCATGGATACGTTGTGGCGCAGCTGACACAGAACAACATACGCTGTTTGCGTTCAGTGGATACTCTCCAAAATGGCGTCAGGGTGACGCGGAAGAGATAATTTTTTTTTTTTAATCTCTTTATTTAAATTTTCTTGAAACAACACACACAATGTCACAAAATAGCTACTATACAGGAAAAATACGACATCGAGCACCTTTAGCTGTAACACTGTACAATACATGACTTTTGAGCCAAGAACATTAAAGCTTTATTTTAGAACCCCCCACCCAAAAAAAAGGAGTAAAGGTTACTTCAAGTGCTTTAAAATCAGGAGTACATGAGCAACAGCGTGTTAATATACAATCTTTTATCCTGATGGACGGCAACAACAGCTATCCAAATAGTGTATATTCAGACAGTTTGATTAAAAGAGATGTAATCCAATATATTCAGTCTGCCTGTAAGAACAGTCTTATTGGTTTCCAGATCTTGATGAAAATGGATAATTTATCTTTTAATATATATCTCAGTTCTTCCAAATGTAACATATTTCCCAGTTCCCTTGCCCACATCCTAAAATAAATTTTTTTTGCAAGAAACTATGTTACCATTGATATTTTTGACTTCAATTTTGACGAGACTGTTAAGCAGAGCTGTTAATGAAGTCTTATAACAAGAAGCTTCTTCAATTGCTAACCATTCTGGCATGTCACCTAACTCCACTAAACCAACCTTCCTCCACCACGCTAAAGTATTTAAGTTAGCTGCCCAATAATAATATTTAAAATTGGGAAGCCCAAACCCTCCTTGATCTTTAGATTTGTTTAGATGTTTCTTGTTAATCCTAGCCATCTTGTTGTCCCAAATGAAGCTGCTTATAATAGATTCTAGCTGTTTAAAATAATTAAGGGGAATAAAGAAAGGAATAGATTGAAATACAGTGGGTACGGAAAGTATTCAGACCCCCTTCAATTTTTCACTCTTTGTTATATTGCAGCCATTTGCTTCAATATGGGGTGCTGTGTGTACATTAATGAGGAAAAAAAATTAACTTAAATGATTTTAGCAAATGGCTGCAATATAACAAAGAGTGAAAAATTTAAGGGGGTCTGAATACTTTCCGTACCCACTGCATATACAAAAATCTTGGAAGTACCACCATTTTTATAGCGTTAATCCTGCCTACCATGGACATAGGGAATGTCTTCCAAAAAATTATATCATCTTTAAGCTGATCAATTTTCTTTTTCCAATTCAATTTTAATAACATTTCAGGTTTTTTGGTGATTATTACACCCAAATATTTAAAGGAGAGATTTGCAATTTTAAATTTGGTGCTAGTTAAATATTTTTTATTTAAATCATCAGAGACTGGCATTAATTCACTTTTTTCCCAATTTATTGTGAATCCAGAAAGACTGCCACATTTTTCAATAAGCTCAAGTAATGGTGGAATAGACATTTTAGGGTTGGAAACATACAAGAGAATATCATCCGCATACAACGAAAGATGTTGGGGTCTGCCCTCTATCACTATAGGTGCTATGTTAGGATGGTGTCTAATACTGGCTGCTAATGTTTCCATTGAGATATCGAACAAAAAAGGAGACAAAGGGCATCCCTGACGTGTACCTCGAGATAACTGAAATGGATTTTAAATGTTTTGGTTGGTAGTAACAGAAGCTACTGGATGTGCATAAATTATTTCAATCCATTTAATAAATTCTGAACCGAATCCAAATTTCTTTAGAACAGCAATCATGTATTTCCACTCTAATTGGTCGAAGGCTCGTTGAGCATCTAATGAGATAACATGTCTTTATGTTTTTCTTGTTATAAATTATGTTAAAGAGCCGTCTCAAATTAAAATATGTATGTCTCTTTGGCATAAAACCAGTCTGGTCCTGATGAATTATAGAACAGATGTACTTTTTCAATCTATTCGCAAGAATTTTAGTTATAATCTTAGATTCAGTGGAAATGAGAGAGATCGGGTGATAGGAAGACATCTGCAGCTTGTCCCGCCCCGGTTTTGGAATTAATACTATACTTGCTTCATACATTGTTGGTGGAAATTTATTTTGTGTTGTTGCACTTTTAATCAATCTTTGAATTTTAGGTAAAAGATTATTCCTGAATTTGTTATAGAATTCAGCACTAAAGCCGTCCGGACCCGCGGATTTGTTATTAGGTAACTGTTCTATTACTTCATTTATTTCTTCTAGTGTAATTTCTTTATCTAAGGATTGTTTTGCATCAGTGCTAAGAATGGGAAGATCCAATTGAGAAAAAAATTATTCTATTGCCTCTTGGCTTGTTTTACATTTTGATTCATAGCAGGGTTCCCACTCTTTCATGAACACCAGATTCAAGGACTTTCAAGGACTTTTTAAAGCACCATTTATTTTATATCAAGCACCTATCAAATTCACACCCCAGCATATGTAGTGTCATGAAAGACCTTACATTACTTAACATTTCACTACTTACACTTAACATTTACATGAAACATTTCAGAGTAATAATGTTTTGAATGTGTAGGTTTCATAAATTTATACCGTTTTTAGCAGTTGTGTTCAAAGGAATTTAATGAAATCCATTGAAGTCAGTACTGGTAATATTCAAATACAATTTGAACATTTGAATAAAAAAACTTGTACAAGATTTAAATTTGAAAGAATTTCTCAATTTTTAAATTAATAAAAAGTGGTGAAATGTTGAAATAACATGGTAAAACCTGTTAACAT